GTTGCAGCTGTCATTGTTGTTTGGCGGGTCTGGGCTGGGGATTCGAACCCGCCACTTTAGGTGTACGTGGCTGGCGCCTTAGCCGGTTGAGCTATAGGCGCCAAGCCCGTCTTGCTTATTTTGCAGCAAATTCCAGGTATATTATTTTGTCTATAAATAGCTGAGTATATAATTTTTCTTCTTCTTTTTTTAATTTTTCTTCTAACTTTTTTGGAGACAGGGTCTCAACTGTTGTTGCCTGGCTGGAGCACAGTCAGCAGTGCAATCACAGCTCACAGCAGCCTCCAGCTCCTGGGCTCAAGTGATTCTCCTGCCTCAGCCTCCCAGAGTAGCTGGGACTACAGGTGCGTGATGCGACACCAGGCTTATTTTTTAATAGAGATAGGGTCTTGCTGGTTTTCTTGGTGTGTCTTGAACTTCTGGGCTCAAGCAGTCTTTTCAGCCTTAGCCTCCTAAAGTGCTGTGATGACAGGTGTGAGCCCCATGCCTGGCTAGTATATACTTTTAAAAAGGAAGGACCTTTCCATATTTTAGTGTTTTGATTTATTCCCTCTTAGCGCCCCCAAACAAGTGTATCTGGATGGTTTGCCTACCAGAATCCCAGTTTATACCTGTTGTCCTCATGTGGTTTATTAATAGTCCCCCTTTCACTTCAAGGAGCCTCTGGACCAGGTGTCCTCAAACTAGGGCCCATGGGCCACATGCGGCCCACCTAGGACATTTATCCAGCCCGCGGGTGTTTTTGCTGCTGCTGCCTGTCCTGCTTAGCAGCCCACTCATCACAGGACCTGCAGTCCAGCCCTCCAACGGTCTGCAGAACAGTGAACTGGTCCCCTGTTTAAAAAGTTTGAGGACCCCTGCTCTGGACAGTAAATTCTTGGGTCGCCTCATCTACAGAAGGGAAGCCTTTTCATAGGGTGCAGTAAATTCTTTAATAGCACCTTCAGTATATAGTATTTTTTGAATAGTGTGTAATTTTTCTATTTTATCTCAGGAAAGCAAGCCCTGGAGTTCGCTATGTCAAGAAATCGTGCCCTGAGGTGTAATGCTACATAAGCTCCAGAAAGGAAGGATCCTGGATCACGGTAAGGAAGGACAAACCAGCTAGCGGCTCTGACTCTGCTTGCTGCTTGTTCTTCTACTCCATTGTTTCTTTATGATTTGATCATAAGAGCAGGAATATTGTTTTGAAAGTAACAAGAGACTTGAACATTTGAATCCAAAGGATAACGTGAATGCTTTAGAAGTACCGGTTTATATTTGCTGGAGTATTTGGTCAGCTGCGAATTACTCAAGTTGAGATTATCCAGATCCTTCAACCTTTTAGTAACAGCGTCATCAACTTGGTGTTTTTACTTACAGAGAGAGAAGACGGTACCAAACCTTTAACTGTTATACGTCATTATAAAGGCAGAAGCTAGACGGAGTGATTGTGCCTCTCTGGCGTGCGGCTTGTTTTAGATACTCCTTGTAGTAACCGCCCCTGTGGTCGGTTCTCCCTTATATCTTAGGCGAAAGGAAGTTCCATGAGGTCGAGGATTATTACACATTATGGATTATCCCACAATTCACACTTAAGTGTGTCTTCATATGGTGAATAGTTTTTGGAAGAAATGAATGAAAAAATCAGGGATATTCTCTGGCACAGAATATTGTGAATTCTTGTAGATGTGTTGAATTTGAAGGAACACAAGGAGAAAAAAGGTTTCTGTAGCCTGTGATCGTAAAACTCAATCAGAGAACAAGGGATATTGTTTGGAATTGGTTTAGCCTAATGCACCCACACATCCTCTACGCTTTGTTTTCTTAGCAGTATAAGGCATGTGTATTGTTATCTCTGTGTACTTACCTCCATTTTAGAAGCTTAGGAAACTGAGGTCTGCGAGCAAGTCTGTTCCCAAAGGATGAGGAATAATGCCTCTCACTTCTAAGTATAGCGTTCTTTCTAAAAGACCAAGTTGCTATTTATATTTTAAGAAAGAGCACATGATGTCTGTTAATGGGAGATAAATGAGGAGCAGGCAGGGAAGTACATTCTGTCCCTGGATTACTGTGTCTACTCCTGGGTGGAGATCAAAAGGATTCTCTCCATCCCTTTTCAATTCTAACCAACTGAGCTTCTCAGAGTCTTTTTTTTTTTTTTGTTATGTAGTTCAAAAGAAGACTTTCGTGTTAGGAGTGAAAGTGAGCGTTAGGTTGGTTAGGAAGGAGTTTCTCTTCCTCTAAAGATGATGCCCAGGTCTAGAATAGAATAGCAAGTCGTTACTGTTGAATCTGCCCTGGGTTGGCTTTAGTGGATCATAATGTCATAGGGTCCTGATGCTGCTGTGCGTCCAGCAGCATCAGGTGTAAACTGAAGCTGTTTTGAGCACTTTTCCTATTTCTTACTAACCACAAGTAAAATACCCACCCCAAACAAAGTCTGTCCATTGGCCTTAACATGTTCTTTAAGATCCATGCCAGCGTTTCACCCCTTGCTCTGTATTATAAGGGTTAAGGTTTTCTGTAAATGTCCTGGGGGGTGGACGTTAAATCTCTTTAAACTGACACGGTTCTTTTTCTTGTGCAGGCCTGAGTGTTGACAAAGACGTCGATGAGAGGCCGGCATCTCTTCCTGTCTCACCAGCCACTATTTCACGTTGCGTAGAAACTATGCGTGTTTGTTGGTCAGCAAGACCAAGGAGCAGGAGCGATGGCAGTTGAAAAAGTCGGTCCGCGTCCAGGATACTTTTCCTGGGTTTCATCATCAGGAACCTCCTTCCTTTCATCCCAGGCACAATGTGGTAACTTTTACCGTTTGATAAAGATGAAGGACATGTTTTTTGGTCCACAACCAGAACTTAAAATCTGCTGGAATAGGATCAGAGACCATTTCATCTGCAGCTGAGGAAAATGAAATTTCCATTTTATCTGGTGCCTTGTACCAGGAGCCACACTAACTCTTCTGGAAACTACCGTGTGAATGAAAATGAGATTGAGTTTCGTCGAGTAGAAGCTCATGGTTATGGCAAGTGACCCAACGTGAGCAGAGGGGCAGGAGCCACAGGGGCACTCATGACGGGCTATACCATGTTGCGGAATGGGGGGCCGGGGAACGGAGGCCAGACCTGCATGCTGCGCTGGTCCAGCCGCATACGCCTCACCTGGCTCAGCTTCACGCTCTTTGTCATCCTGGTGTTTTTCCCCCTCATCGCTCACTATTATCTCACTACTCTGGATGAGGCCGATGAGGCCGGCAAGCGGATTTTTGGCCCCCGGGCGGGTAACGAGCTCTGCGAGGTGAAGCATGTGCTGGATCTTTGCCGTATTCGCGAGTCGGTGAGTGAAGAGCTCTTACAGCTGGAAGCCAAGCGGCAAGAGCTGAACAGCGAAATCGCCAAGCTGAACCTGAAGATCGAAGCCTGTAAGAAGAGCATTGAGAACGCCAAGCAGGACCTGCTGCAGCTGAAGAATGTCATTAGCCAGACCGAGCACTCTTACAAGGAGCTGATGGCCCAAAATCAGCCCAAACTCTCTCTGCCCATCCGATTGCTCCCAGAGAAGGATGATGCCGGCCTTCCTCCCCCGAAGGTCATCCGGGGTTGCCGGCTGCACAACTGTTTTGATTATTCTCGTTGCCCTCTCACCTCTGGTTTTCCCGTCTATGTGTATGACAGTGACCAGTTTGCCCTTGGCAGCTACCTGGATCCCTTGGTTAAGCAGGCTTTTCAGGCTACGGTGCGGGCCAATGTTTATGTGACAGAAAACGCAGACATTGCCTGCCTGTATGTGATGTTAGTGGGAGAGATGCAGGAACCAGCAGTGCTGCGGCCCGCTGAACTTGAGAAGCAGTTGTACTCTCTGCCACACTGGCGGACGGACGGACACAACCACGTCCTCATCAATCTGTCACGGAAATCGTACACACAAAACTTACTGTACAATGTCAGCACTGGCCGGGCCATGGTGGCCCAGTCCACTTTCTACGCTGCCCAGTATAGGCCTGGCTTTGACCTGGCGGTGTCACCACTGGTCCATGCCATGTCCGAACCCAACTTCATGGAGATCCCAGCGCAGGTGCCAGTGAAGCGGAAATACCTCTTCACCTTTCAGGGTGAGAAGATTGAATCCCTGAGATCCAGCCTTCAGGAGGCCCGCTCCTTTGAAGAAGAAATGGAGGGCGATCCTCCAGCTGACTATGATGACAGGATCATTGCCACCCTGAAGGCTGTACAGGACAGCAAACTAGATCAGGTCCTGGTAGAATTTACCTGCAAAAACCAGCCTAAGCCCAGTCTGCCTACTGAGTGGGCGCTGTGCGGGGAGCGTGAGGACCGCTTGGAATTGCTGAAGCTTTCCACCTTTGCCCTCATCATCACCCCTGGGGACCCTCACTTGGTTATTTCATCTGGGTGTGCAACACGGCTCTTTGAAGCCCTGGAGGTTGGGGCTGTCCCGGTGGTGTTGGGGGAGCAAGTGCAGCTCCCGTACCAGGACACCCTGCAGTGGAGCGAGGCAGCCCTGGTGGTGCCCAAGCCACGTGTGACGGAGGTTCACTTCCTGTTAAGGAGTCTCTCCGATAGTGACCTCCTGGCTATGAGGCGGCAAGGCCGCTTTCTCTGGGAGACTTACTTCTCCACCGCTGACAGTATTTTTAACACCGTGCTGGCTATGATCAGGACTCGGATACAGATCCCAGCTGCTCCCATCCGGGAAGAGGCAGCAGCTGAGATCCCCCATCGTTCAGGCAAGGCTGCGGGAACTGACCCCAACATGGCTGACAACGGGGACCTGGACCTGGGGCCAGTAGAAACGGAGCCGCCCTACGCCTCACCCAAATACCTCCGCAACTTCACGTTGACTGTCACTGACTTTCACCGCAGCTGGAACTCTGCGCCAGGGCCTTTCCATCTTTTCCCCCACACACCCTTTGATCCTGTGTTGCCCTCAGAGGCCAAATTTTTGGGCTCAGGAACTGGATTTCGGCCTATTGGTGGTGGAGCTGGGGGTTCCGGCAAGGAGTTCCAGGCCGCCCTCGGGGGCAATGTTCCGCGTGAGCAGTTCACGGTGGTGATGCTGACGTACGAGCGGGAGGAGGTGCTCCTGAACTCCTTAGAGAGGCTGAACGGCCTCCCGTACCTGAACAAGGTGGTGGTGGTGTGGAACTCTCCCAAGCTGCCCTCCGAGGACCTTCTGTGGCCTGACATTGGCGTCCCCATCATGGTAATAGAGAAGGAGCCGTTTGCTTACTGCATGGCATAGTATTTCTCTTATAATCGTTTTCCATCTTTCTTTAGCTATCTTAACTTTTAGTAGAGAGGAATATATATTTAGCCTGTACATAATCTGTTCTTCATGAACTCCCTATGCTCGCTGCTTTTCCAGGCCTTGCCAGTTCCATTGCTGCTACTCAATTCCTAAATCTCCCAAGGCCTCCAAAACCAGAACTGACACTAGGGCCCTGCAGGTTTACAAAACCCCTTCAATAATCCCGTGGACTTCTCCCACTGATGATGGTAACAGTGATGGGGAAGTTAGCACTTAGGAAGCATTTAGGATGTAGGCTCTACAGCTAACATTGTGTGACTTCTTATCACCGTGTCTTCATTTTGTATCTATGGGGGCTGAGGTGCAGAGAGAGTGATTTGCCTGCGGTCATGCTGAGTGATGGGGGAGCTGAACTTGAGTATATCTGATTCTAGAAACTGCTGCTTTAATCATTTCCTGAAGGATTTAGGAAGAAGACCTGTGTCATCTCCCCAAATATCATGGAAGTTTTTGAGAAGACTGGATTTGGGGTTTGACATGTAAGAGTTGGACAACCAACTGCACCTGAACGTTCTTTTCTAGAGTGTCTCGTAGATCTTTCTCCTTTGTCTCTCGTGGTTAGGGTCAGTGCTGTATTTTACAGGAAAATAATAGCCAGATATGCAGGACAGGGCTTTAGCTCTGAGGGTTTTGTTTATCCACCTGCTGAATTAAACTTGGCAATCTAGAAGAGAGATGGCAGCCATGTGTCTCAGATGGGCAGCCTCAGAGCAAGTCTGAAGCAGACTGGCAACTAATTGCCCTGCAGCCTCAGGACTTGCCAGAAAAGGGTAGCAGCAAAGGGTAAAAAAGTCTGATGGGCCGTGCATTGCTGAATTCCAGGTTTTAGAAAATTTATTTTGTTGGGAAACTAATTCATTTGAATTATTTTCTAAACAGCATGGCATAATAAAATTTTGAGACTTGTAGTGATACAGACCTGGGATTAAGTAGTTACTCTGTGATCTTTGATAAGCTTTTGACCTCAGAAATCCAGGATAAGACCAGGAGGGATTCTAGAAAGGTGCCCAGTGAATATGAGTCTTCCTAATACCTTAAATGTCAAAGGAGATGGAAGCCAGTCCTTGTGTTCTGCCTGCGTTACGGACAGCTTTAACTAGCTTCCTTGATAAAGACTCTGTCCTCTACGTCATTACTGTTGGTGAAGTAGCTGTTACTACTCCTTACTCCTGGACAAACTGCCTAACGACCTTTTGATTTAGATTTTCTTTCTTTCTTTTGCTGCTGATCTTTTCTTGTATTTTATCATTTACTTCATAATTGAAGGCGGTTGGAAAACTGTAGGGTCATAAAGACTTTTGATCTTAGAGTTTATCGTGTGTATTAACAGTTTTGTAAAAAGGGAGATTTCTTTTATAGACTTCTCCAATTTTTACTTTTTTCTTTTTTTAATTTCAACTTGACGGATGTCATTAATTTAAAAAAAGGATTTGTTCCAGGAAAAGGTGATGCTGCTCAAATAGTAAAATAATAAAGCAGCCTTTGTTTTATTTCATTTTTTCCCTGAGTTTTCTTCGATTTTGATGGTGATGTAGAGAAGCTGATGCCACCCGGTTAACAATGACTGAGATTCATCAGAGAACTAACCAGAACTAATCCTTTCTTTGAACTCCAGTGGGAAATAAGTAGTCCTCTTTGATTATTGGACAGCTCGTTGCAATAGGACAATACCTAGTTGGAAGATGCCAGAAACTTTCTGAGTTGGAGGCCATTCTAAATAGTTTTCTTGTACTGGGAATACAGATTTTTTTCTAGTTCTTCTTTTTTTTTTT